TCTCCTTTCCCACTTGAATTAGCCTAAACAATTCCCATTACTGTACTCCAAAGATCTGTTCCATTTAACATACAAAACTTGTCTGTCATTAGCATAATTATAACAAATAGATTTAGGTTGGTTGGACACACTGATAAAAGCAAGAGCATTATAATACATTGCATATACCTTAACACCTAAGTATCATTATGTACTCTTAATAAAAGTAATTGGAAAACAAAATAAATTGCAATGCTGTGATTGCTTTGTTATGCATGCAATGTTATGTCTTGCTAACTAAATCTACTTATATTGTTGTTGTTATTTAAGCTACATAAAGAAAACTTTGAATTATTATTCCTGATCTATAGAAGCTATGATTGCTATGATGTTGCAGCTGATATAATGAAACTGGTTTCTGTGGCAGTTGTTTTTAACAGCAAACCTTTGTATATTTAGTATAACTTTACTTTCATTGTTACGTTCACTGGCAAGTTTGTTAATGATGATTCTCCTGCTGTGTATTCTTCTTCATAGTGTATCATCTCTTAATATCAGGATTGATGGAGATAATGGAATTGATTCAAATAATTGTCTTACAGAACAGCCTCAGTCTTTCTGTCAGTCATTGGAGTATGTAGCTGATACTATTAACAACACTGGTAACCTCACAATAGAGATCATCAGTCCTACTCTTAGTCTACAAGGTAGTGTTATATTCACTGATATCAATGGACTAACTATCAATGGACAAGGTACTAGCATTAGCTGTAGGAATGGATCAATACCTTATGGTAACTCTGGTATAGTCTTTGATACATGCAGTAATGTTGAGTTTATTAGTTTTACTATTGAATACTGTGGGTTGCTTTATAAAAATGAACAAAATTATCATGGATGCCAAAGTATCCTCTTTTATAATTGCAAAAATTTTAATACTTTAAAAGCCAACTTCAGCGACAATAATGGTTATGGGCTGGTACTCTATGACAGCAGTGGGAGTATTCAGCATATTATTTTTGTAAACAATGGTATAAAACATTCTGATCTTTCAAGAGCTGGGGAATTAAGCACAACAGGAGGAGGCCTACACATACATCAATATAATCCTTATAATAATACAATTGAGATTTATGCTAATCAGTTTTTTAATAATTCTGCTACAACCATAGGTGGTGCATTATATATAGAGGTGGATTATTGTGCACACTTACTTTTGTTCATCGCTGCTTCTAATTTCATTGGTAATAGAGCAGATACAGCTGGAGGAGCCATTGGGTTTATAGTTGTGATGATACGAAGGTTCGCTCTTAAAGTCCAAATTCTTCAGATATCAACCAACTAACTCTTTGAACAAAATAACCGTACTTATATACACAAATCATAAGGGTTCTAGTAAAATCCAGAATACCTGACATATAATAATTGCTAACTAGTAGGTTCTAGAACATTACAGAACTTATAGTACATATAATTACATTCCAGAATAATCTAGAAGTATACACATACATTACACAAGAAAAATCAACATAAACCACAACACATTATTAAGTACAATTTATCACATCTCCCTCCGCTTCAGATGAACAACTTCGTTGTTCACTCAGAGGCCCTCGTGATAGTCCATCAGCGTTACCATTGTCTTTCCCTCTTTTATACTGGATTCGGAATCTCCACTCCTGATCTTCATGTATGCATCCTATCATGTAACTTGTTTCATCTGCTTCTCTCCACTGCTTCAACATATTTATATGAAATATTTTTGTCTTCTGTCCACGTCCAATCTCCACTTCATAGTTCACTTCTCCAACTGCTCGTATGATCTTGAATGGCCCCTTCCACTCTGCTGTTAATTTATGAGTACTAGATGGTAGCATTACAAGTACTTTATCTCCAGGTCCAAACTTCCGATCCCTTGCCTTTCGGTCATACCACACTTTCTGTTTCCCTTGGGACCTCTTGAGGTTCTCCCTTGCCAACTCCGACATTTCTTCCAGACGACTTCTCATCTCCGTGACATAGGCAACAATATCCTCTGCATGATCCTCTTTAGTCTCCCAGCTCTCCTTCAGTACATCCAATGGTCCTCTTACTGCCCTACCATACAAAAGCTCAAACGGAGAAAATCCAGTTGATTCCTGCGGTACTTCTCTGTAAGCAAATAGCAAGTATGGTAAGAGCGTGTCCCATTCCTTTGGGTTCCGACTAGTGCAACTGCGTAGCATTCTCTTCAATGTACCATTAAACCGTTCCACTAATCCATCAGTCTGTGGATGATATGGTGTAGTCCGTATTCCCTTAATCCTCAACATCCCATAAACCTCCGCTAGTAGCCTTGATGTGAAATTAGATCCCTGATCAGTCAGTATTTCATCCGGCAGTCCCACTCTTGACATTAGCTCCACCAACTTCTCTGCTATCGTCCCTGCATCAATGCTTCGTAACGCAAAAGCTTCCGGATATCTGGTGGCATAATCACATACCACCAGAATATACTTGTTTCCCCTTCTGCTCTTCTCCAATGGTCCAACTATGTCCATGGCAATCCGCCGGAAAGGTGTATCAATAATTGGTAAACTCCTCATCCGTGCTTTAGGTGTAAACCGCTTCCCCGATGTCCGCTGACATTCTGGACAAGTCTGACAGTGCTTCTTTACATCCTGCGTTACACCTGGCCAGAAAAATCGTTTCATCACTCGATCAGTAGTCTTCTTTTGACCCAAATGTCCTCCCAGTGGTATTGTGTGTGCTAAGTGTAGCACCTTCCTCCGACATCCTACAGGTAAAATCAATTGCTCTGTCCCCCCTTTGACACTGCTACATCGGTAGAGTAGTCCCTCTTTCCTTACATACTTGACCCCAGGTAAGCTTTCCAGCAATCCATCAGCTTGCTTCCCAATTGTCACTAAAGTCTCATCCTCTGCTTGCATCTTCCTCAGTTCCTCTTTTCCAGATGGTAGCTCCTTCTGTCCTACCATACTGTTCTTAAGTATCCATTCTCTTTTTCCCTTCTTCTTCTGTGACCTTGTCTTCCTAGTTTTCCCAGGTCTGGAAAAAAGATCTTCATGTAGTGTATCCATCCCATCTTGCTCAATCTCTGTTGTGTCTTCCAGCAATTGCTTGGCCACTGCTCCACTCTCTCTCTCTTTCTTTTCAACTTCCTCTTTTTGTCTCTGCTCCTCTTTCTGTTGACTCCTAGTCATCACCATGCAATCTTCTACTCTCTTCTTCCCAAATACTCTCATTAGATCTGTCCCTGCTAGTACTGGTCTTGGTAGGCTGTCCGATACTCCAACTCTCATTCTTCTCTCGACTCCTTCAATCACCATTGATACTTCTGCAACAGGATATTCTGTTATATCCCCATGTGCACACTGAACCAAGACAGTTTCTCCCTCAATTAAGCAAATGTCCGGAATCAATTGTGTCTGTACCAGGGTGTATGAGCACCCAGTATCCAATAGCATCTCCACTGGAACTCCTTCAATCTTCCCCCAGCACACGATGTCCCCTATCTTGCCACTAGTACTCCTTGTCCTGGTCTGCCATGACTTCATGTAATATCCACGATTTCGGGTACATTTTGCTGCAATGTGTCCCACGTTTCCACATTTGAAACACTTCCTTGGGTCCGTCTTCTTAGATTGACTTCCTCCGGCTCCTGCCTGTTGCTCCCCCTTTTCTCCCTTTGGACACTCTCGATACAGGTGTCCAAGTTCTCCGCATCCATGACATCTTCTCTCGGTGTTCTTCATTCCTTGTCTTGCCAAAACATAGTCATCAGCCTGGGTAGCTGCCTCTTCCACGGTTCTTGGTTTCTTCTGTCAAATCCATACCTGTATCTCGGTTGGCATGGTGTTTAACAATTGTTCCATCACCATCAATTCTGTCAATTGTTCCACATTGTCTTTGCTGATGCTGTCCATTTCCTAAATAGATCTTTCAGTTTTACTCCTAACTCTCCATAGCTCTGGGCACTTGTCTTCTTAGCCGACCGAAATCTCTGTCTGTACATGATGTCTCCTCATTAATATCGAATCTTCGCAAAATGGCCTTCTTCACCTCCTTGTAACTCTTTGCTGCCTCTTGATCCATATTTGCATATGCTGCTAATGCCCTCCCGGTGAGTAGCGGGACCAGCTTCAACACCCACTGCTCATCTGGCCAACAATATGCACTTGCGATCCGCTCAAAGCCTGTCAAAAAGTGTTCGATATCGGTATCCTTCTCCACAAACTTTGTAAGCACTGGCTCTCTGCCCTTAACTCTCCTCCTGTCTTCCTCTTCTCCTCCCGATTCATTCTCGCTTTCGCCTGTACTGGAATGTTCATCTCCCTCAATCTCCTCTCAGAGGAGGTAGGACACGGTTGACCTTTGATTAATAATTGCAAAGTTCAATTGCATTCCATTGGTATCACGTGATGCAAAATGGCCAAATTCTTCCACTAGTACCACTTTTAACAATAATTTAGAGCATCAAGATAGAGTCAATGGGACTTTCATTAATTCACTAGAAACTATGATAGGTGCAGTAATTTTTAA